AAGCTTCCTGCAGGCGCCCCACCAGGGGTTAGGGAGACCAGGGGGGGAACGAAAATCTTTGAGAAAATTTGGAAAAATATGGAACATATGGAAATATCATGAAATATCTCCATGTAAAAAATAGAATAAGATCAATAGATGTAGAAAATATGGAAGTATCTCCATGGTCACCTAAATAGAAGATTCAACCGAAAGCAAGATTAGCATATGACCTCAATTGCCAATGGGAAGAATGATTTGCCAATGGAGAAGTTTCCACTCAACGAACATCCCATGTGTATGATGTTGATCCTGGACCCCTTAGTGCATATAGATGCAATTTTGCTGGCCTGGGCGATAACTAGAGAGTCGCAAAAGAGTTGGCCAGTGTAGCTGCTGAAATTGCCTCCAGCTGCTGGTTCTTGGCCAAATTCCTGTACAAGCATGCTGTCGAGAATGCCAAGCTAAGAAATCGCATCTCCGCAGATACCGTTACCCAAGCTGATGCCTCTACCGGGCACACTTGTTTGATGCACACGTACACATTAGCGGATAGTAGGCACGGTAGGCACCAAACCTTTCACTTCACCGCTTCACCGGTAGGAAAGAAGGTTGCTGAACAAAGCCGAACTTCAAGCAGCCAGTGGCCTGATGGGATGCCCAGATGGTCATGGCATGGCATGGATTGCGATGATGGCGGTTCGCACTGAGGCAGTTTGAACTTACTCTTCCAGAGTACTTGGGAGGACGCGGGTACAGCCCATTGCAACCACATTGGGACTTGCGCCTAGGACCCTAGGATTCATTTGAATTATTTTGAATTCCAAGAACTAAAGACAAAAGGATTATTATATATTATTATGTTATGTTGTGTTCAAGTGATTCATGTGTTCTTGCATTTTCATGCATTTCTACTTGGCCAAGAGGCCAAGAGCAGAATTTCTTCAGACTGCCAGGAATTTTGGACCTCACCGGCGAGGTGAGGGGAACCAGACCAGGGATGGGGTTCTTCGATATCAGCCACAGTTCCAAGGGTAAGATTTACACCAGAGAGATCCAAGAATTGCTGGTTGGTGGTTTCAAATATGGCTTTTATTTTCCATAATATATGGGTTGTCATCAATCCCATTGACGAACTCATATTTTTCAAGATGGTTAAAACCACCAACCAGATTATCAATTGCAAATACGCTGTTGGGTAATGAATCCCCACAGCCAGCTAAGCCGGACCAGAAAACCAGACCACCCAAAACCCGCAGGAGCAAACCACAATCCCAACTGCCCCCAAAACAAAGCAACCTGCATGAACCCAAAACAAACCAGAATCCCAAAACCCAAACCCCAAACCCTTAAAATGATGGGAAACCACATCCATAGTTTCCCAATGTTTCCCGTGGTGTGTTGCTTGGAAGTTGATTGGAAACATTGCCCCATATGTATCCATTTGGGAGTTGTTATTGTGATGCAGGATGTTGATATGTGCTGAAACCGTGGTGAATCCACGGGAAGCCAAGATCATGTTCCCGTGTTCCGTTCATCTCTATTCACTGATGATCCACAAAATTCATGATTCCAATGGAATCAATGGATCATAGCTGAGATCCAATGGAATTCCTGGATGCATTCATGGATTTTCATGGATTTTCATGGATTTTTCATGGGATTTTCATAGGATTTCCATGATCATTCCAATGGTGGGTCGCTTGTCTCCCATCCCAGGTGGCTCGCCTGGCCATCCGTCAAGCCAGCCATGGCAGAGAGGCGGTCACCAAATGCCGCACCCATAGGATCCATGGTGCTGCTATATATGGTAACATGGATCCCATCAATATACCCCAAATGTTAGCATATATACCAGCACCATGGATCCTATGGGATATAAGATGCGTGTTTGACATGAGAAGTTCGCCTTGCGGCCTTGCTTTGTGCCAAAAACATGTTCCGTACAAGAAGATTTGAGCCAGTTCGCACTTCAAGATTGTTTTATTTGGGACGATTTGGGACTTGAATACTGTGGCAAACGCTTTGGGGATGGTTTATTTTATCCCATGTTATCCCATAGCTACTTCATTCTTCCACATTAACACATTAATATCCCATGAAAATATCCCAGCCTACTGTATCCATCTATATCCAGCTATATTAATCTCCTTATTTACCCTCTGGTAATTTAACATAGCTATTGAAAATGGCCATTTATAGTTGATTTTCCCATTAAAAACAGTGATTTTCCATAGTTATGTTAGTTTATTTGGGGATCAAACAAGGAACCATTGTCAAATCAGCCCCAGGCCGTAGCTGATGTCGAGCTTTGCCTCGCCTGTGTGGAGGGCGTTTCTTCTGGAGCACAGGCGCGGTAGACCATGGGATTTCCATGGCTTTAAGTGGATTTATAGCATTTTATAACCTATTATATATATATATATATATATGTATACATATTTATAATCCATCAAAACCACACATTAAATATATATATATATATGTATACTAGATATATACATATATGTATACTAGATATATATATATATATATGTGTGTGTGTATATCTTATATATATTACATTATTTACACAGAAATATGGAATAAATCCCTGCAACAGATCTCTGCAAATGATAAACACCGCCTAAAACCTTCGTTGAGTATTAGTTTTATTCCATTTGACGTCCATTTGAGGGTGGCCGAACTGGGGAATGATTCGGCTCAGGAGCTGGTCTTCCTGCCGGGGGTTGGCAAAAAGATGACAGCCGTGAAGGTGGTCGTGTCCAGGGACTCCCAAAAGTGATACCAAGGCTGACCATTTTTTAGATCAGAACATGAGACCCCAAAAACTGAGAGATCAACTGCTAAAGAGTTTCTGGCGTGTTTGGAATCGGGTGAAGAGATATGAAGAGATTGCTGGCATGCGAAGGTGTGACGTTTTTCCATGCAGAAAAGGGTAATGCCAACACCGGATTAATAACCCTCCCAGAAGGTGAGGGTATACCTTGCAATGTCTTTCCTAGTTTTCCCCGTAAATAAACGCTCCCTTGGAAGGGGTTGATTAATAAGGGGAACCCTCTGATTATTATTAATGGGGCACATGGGCTCATGGGGGGCACCCTTTGGGAGCTATCGAAACTGCTGATTTTTGTAAAGAATTTAATTAGAAATTGAAATCGATCATTTGGGGAATATGTGTTTTTCAAATTTTCAATGATCAGCAGTGATGGATTCTTGTGTTCATGAGGTTTCAACTTAAGTATAGAATAAGGAAACCAATTTAAAATAAAGAGAGTTGGACAATAAAACAAAATGGGATTTCATCACTGGTGGTTGATTAATCATGTGCGGCCAAAACGGTTTATTAATCCTGGGGGACCACCTGTTTTTAAATTGCAAAAAAAAATGGGAGGAGGAGGTTGATTAATAACGGGGTGTTAATTAATCCTGACTTGACATTAACCAGTCACACAAGTTTCGAAGCAGATGGTAGTGATTGTTTCTGACTAGAAAGTGCCAGAAAGAGGCTTTAATGACTCTAGTGGCTCTGATGCTGCTTTGCCTCCCAAATTAGTCTACTGCCAGGTGGCATCGCAGGGCGTTTGATTTTAGAGCTTGAAGATGTTGAATTTGGAGTTTCTCCATAGACTCCACATGTGGAACTGGCAACATAAAGCCCACTGTCCAAAACTTGTCAGGCAACCCTGCTGAAGATCGAGGGTGTCCTCTATGAACTCGTTCTTCGCTCAGCGCGCCGAAAATTGGACCATAGGTGAAGCCTGTTGGAGAATAGACTCCTGAAATTGTACCACTGTAAACCAAGAGTGGCAGTCCAACAAAAGCATATGTTATACAAGAACTGGTTGGTGGTTTGGAACATGTTTTATTTTTCCATATATTGTATTGGCAATAATGATCCCAATTGACTTTTCATATTTTTCAGAGGGGTAGGTCAACCACCAACCAGATGATTATTAACCATCATTAACCATCATAATAACCATATATATATATATATTAACCATATATTAACAGTATATTAACCACAATGGTAGGTGCTGTCATTTCCAAGTTTAGCTTCCTACCATCCGTGCAGGCCCTCCTATCGCATGCTGGACTTCGCGCCAAGGCCATTAGCGGTTCTGCAAATGATTCGAAGCTAATGAACATGGGCATGTTTTTTCCCGGGAGGCTGGTGTTGTTTTTTTTTGCACGTTTCCGATATATAATTATGTTTTTTTTTTCCCGATGTTTCAGGTATAAGAGTGAGCGCTTTCATTCTTCAAACATAATTTCAATCTTTGGGAACTGCCAGCCACTTCGTGAATGTGTTCCCCTTATTCTCGGAAAGCAACCATGCACCGCGATCGCATATCAAGAACATCATGAATGCAACAAAGACCAGCGAAGATTTGTGCAGTGTTGTTCTGCGAAATGGGAGAGGGAGACATGGACCCATCTCTCAACTCACAGTTGCATAGACGTACAAGCAAGGAAATGTACGGATTGTACGGATGCTAACTTGACTGTCTCAGTGTATATACTGTAGGTAGTTAGAGACTGGTAGAGATAGAATGAGATATGATAGGGTAGGGATAGATCGATTGAGATATGTAGAGTTGCAATCATCCATCACATACCTAGCAAACTTTCCTTATGCAGAAAGCAGATCTCAAGATGTCGCAGCCTGAATTTGTCCAGGCTCTTGAACCCGATGAAGACAAACCAGTCAACTCAGTCAACGATGGCCTCTGATTTCAAGGGCGGCTTGGGACATCGACGTAGCGAGCCGCGCAACGCCGATCAACAACGATGCGCTGATGATTGGTGAACTGAGTTTTATAGGCTAGTAAAAAAGGCATGTTTGAAGCAACGCGTTGCTGTTGACATCAAAGGCCCAAAAGAAAAGGCCCAAGACCAGTGGTTGAGGCAAAAAACATGTGGATGAATCATCAGCTGATCAGTGTCCATAGGATCTCCGAAAAGCCTCGGCGTTCAAAAGATGGGCAGCGCAGGGCATGGATGTGATCAGGTGGGCAATGGTGGGCACCAAGGGGAACATGCAGCAAGCGTTGGATACAGTCTGTAGGTGGTTCCCTACGGGGTCAATTGTTTGTTGATGTTGATGTTTGTTTAAAAACATTAGGCATGTAAAAATGAGCCCCAATCCACTTGTTTTGCTGACGGCAGCGCCCCAGCACACAGCTTCCCGTGAGGTATTGCGGTTTTGCGCCTGCACCTTGCCATAATTGACGTGGCAAGAAAACCACGCTTTCTTCAGAGTGAATGTATGCTGAGCCAACAAAACCATAATCTTGCTTTGGGCATATATACTATACTGTACTGTACATATATAATCACATATATTACACATAACTATACATCGAGTAATACGGTGTGTATATATAATTATATATATACACATACTGTACATGCACATTGATTGTCAGAGTGAAGGACATAGATTTTCGTTTGTGTGCTATTTGAGCTGCTCAAACTTTAACACACACACAGAGACACACACACGTTTTGCAACTACACAGCCCCAGCAACACATCGCAGTTTTACCAAAATCACTCATGCATTTTGCCAATTGAGAATTTAAGTGACGGAGCTTGAACTCCTGCTTACAAGGCCCAAGACCCACAAGCACTAACATCACTATGTTTCGCCAAGCTGGACCTAAGTTCTTGGGCTCCAACCCAGATCTGAAGTACTGCAAGCCAAGAACACCCTCAGCCAACCCAGCCAAAAAGTGGCCATCAAGAAGCTTCAAGGGGGCCATCTCACCTTCCATGAGCCCATCTGGACCAACCAGACCAGGCCGAAAACTGCGGAGCGCCTCATGTCATCAACCATAGGTTGCGGCATATGTGCCATGTTTACCGTTGGTGGTGTCTCTGAGACCCGCGGTGGTCATCAATCCAGTCATGATCCATTGATAGGGATTTGATACCCCATGATGCTTTGATTCCCATGGTATGGAATGGATGACCAGAAGCCATATACCATGTAACTTGACATAACTTGACCCTCGCGTATTGTTTGGTAAGGCGGTATAAATGGAAATCTGTTCATTTTTAGATGATTTAGCTGATGTACCCTCTAAAGAGTGACGGTTTTCCCACAGCATCCCATAGCTGTGGGAAATGGCCAGAAGGTCCAGATGCCTCACGGACCTTTGCTGCTGCCTTGCTCGGGCATGTAGTTGACAGCAACTTGGCCGCAAAGCTCCGGTTAATAAAGGAACGCATTTTAATGTTAGCAGCAACCCCAAGATAGATAGAAAAGTGGAAAAAATAACTGGAAATGTGCATTAGATATAATTTATAATCTCCTGGAAACACTTTTCTGTTTTTGTTGGGGGATGTCTATAAGGAGGTACTAGGAACAAGAACCAATATGAGTGTCTTCAAGGGTTCACCCTTGCTAACATGCTATAACATACTTAGAGATTTTTGATACTAGATTCACTAGATACTTCAATAGATAGATGATGATTGATGATAGATTCCTTAGATGTTCAGGTTTCTCGATTGTGACCCACCACCCTGGACTTTAGTAGATATACAACTGAGCATAGATTCCGCCAACATCGGAGCACTGCCGAGGCGCAGGTGAGGCGCAGTGCAACTTTCATGCGGCTTGGCGATGTCATGTGAGTTGCTTAAATCAATGGGGAAGATACTTGGATACATGGCTTAATATGGAAGCCTGGACACGGGCTTTGGAAGATGATTTTCCGAACTTGGATAATTGGAAAAACCCTCCGCAAAGTGGGATCCACTGTGAAATTGGAGTACCATGAGCGGTTTTTTCCCTTACTTCAACATGTGATGTTTAAATGTGTGTGGGCGTCTTGCATGTTTTGGAGACACGTGTTTGGCTTCTCCTTGTGACAGGATCAAGGAGTATAGATGGTCAAGGGGAATCTATAACCATGGGCCGTGCTGAGTGACTCAGTGGTCCCATAGAATGCAAGGTGACTCACCTACCCAGCGGAGAGTCTTGGGCCGTCCGACGTCGTTTGACCGAATGGCTGCATTTGGAAGAGATTCCCAGCGGCATTTTGACTGCCTGAGCGCGCAGTGCTCGGCATGGTTCCTGTTGCTGTCATTATCATGACATACACGGCAAGGTAAATCAGACATGGCAAGGGGAAACCCCCTAGACATGGAGGTTTTCATGGGAAGATCATGTTTTTTTTTTTCCATTGCCATGTTTGATTACCAGAGCGTAATCCAGCTGGTGATTCTATTTTTGTACTACAATCTAGATGCAGCATATCAGCAAAGCTGTTCCTCGCTGGAATACTTGCTATTTGTGTGCTGGATCTTTTCTACCTTGCTTTCTCGTTCTGCCTAGGACATTAAGGCACTCAGATCTGCGGGTGAGAACCCTCCACCAGCTATACAGTACCTATTCATCTCCATCCAAGTATTCTAGTTTATTCTTCAGTGATCTTGTGAACCCCTCCCATTCTCATCCATCCATTTGATGTTCATCTCATGGCTATATTGCCCTGCCATTGGGTGAGGCGGATGTCGCTGGAATCCGGCAAGCTTGTAGCCCGCCCGATCGTGCCCTGGACGATCATAGGTGACATGTATAGGAGGGCGACATGTATCCCAACATATCCCAACCATGCCCATGCATGGCTATGGATGTGATAGGTAAATATAGACAACGTAGCAATCAGGGATGAATCAGAGCCAAACAAGCCCAACAAGTCCTGTGATATGTTGCAAAGATTCTCTCAAAGAGACCCACCACGAAAAAAATGCTGAGATTTGGTCCCACTGTTGGCAACACTTCTGAAAAAAGAGTTCTTGAGCACAATGGCCTGCGAAGAATCGATTGTTCCTCCCGGTTACGACATTGGTCAGAACTAAACTGCTGCATTTAGGTTTTAGATAGGTTTTAGTAGCTTCTAGTTCAGTACCTACACAGTCGTGATGTGGAAAACACGACCATAAAATGGCCATGTTTGATGTCATACAAGTCGTTGATGGGGAAAGGATATGAAAAGATTATAATACATCATACACGCCATTCATGGAATTTGACGGAATATTCCATGCATTTCTATGTTTATGAAACATGTTCCCTCTAACCGAAGTGGGTCGTATGTGCCAGGGTCAAGAGTTGGATTGTATAGCATGTATAGCCATATTTGGGGATGGTCATCCATCCATGATTGGGGATTTATATGCCATACTCACATACACACCATCGTTTGCCTATTGCACATCTAAGTCGCATAAGCACATAAATCAAATCTGTGGCATGATCACATCATAAATCACATAATAATATCACATCATAAATCAATATAAATCATATCATAAATCACATATGTAATATGAATCACATATAAATCACATATGAGTATAGTCATATCAAGTCAAACTGAAGTTTACCACACATTTCACGCCACATTCCACGCCTCCATCCTCCAAGGTGCACGCTGCAGGGCCGACGCTGCAGGGCCGCCGCAGCTCGGGCCTGGCGGCGCTGTTCGTGTCGCGAACAACGGAGACCCGGCGACAGATGGATCGCCTGCAGGTGGCGACAGATGGGAAGGGGTGGATCATGGGTGAACATATGGTGATTTAATGGTGGTTTAATGGTGGTTTAATGGGATTTAGTGGGATTTACTGGTAATTTAATAAGATATACCCTCTGGTTATGTCAACAGTTTGCTATTGAAAATGGCCATAGAAATAGTGGATTTTCCCAGAAATGGTGATTTTAACCATAGTTATGTTAGTTTACCAGAGGGTACCCGGCCTGGTTATGTCAACAGTTTGCTATTGAAAATGGCCATAGAAATAGTGGATTTTCCCATTCGAAATGGTGATTTTAACCATAGTTATGGGACAGTTTACCAGAGGGTACCCTCTGCTAATTTATGGAAGGATGGTATAGTGCACCATGTTTACCGCCATTGCCATTTATCATGGTTAAGAGTGGTTATAGTGGTGAATAATGTGTTCTTTTAACCACCATTTAATAACCATTTATTGCCAGGAATGACGAGACTTACCCTCTGGTAATTTGGTACAGAACGATAGAAAATCACCCATTTTTAATAGGTAAACCATCTATAAATGGCCCGTTTTCCATTACCACAGGATATGGAGGATTTTGGATTTTGGATCATGGAGGATATGAAGGATATGGAGAAATTATATAATTATATAATATAGGAAATTAGAATTAGATATGACAAAGGGATCTTTGATATGGATCTTCTGGGAGTTGATCTGATAAGTCTATATATTCAGATTCTATATTCTATAGTTGTGTGGGTACATGTTTTTTTGGGGTGATGGTGGATGTTGATGTATTCTTCATTGAAATCTGGGTATATAGATATGTAACATGGAGGATCTGGATTATATAAATATTAAGATTATGATATACTGCTGTGTATGATGATTCTAGCCTCCCAATGAGGACATGCCATTTTCATTCTTTCTGATCACCTGTATTGTTGCAGAAATTTTGGCTGATATTCCCTATGTGGGCCCGGATTCTCGAGCCATTTCTTGTGGCTCTTTCAACTTCAGTGGCCTACCGAAGCCCCACTGGTGCTGAGTGGATCTTGTTCGGCTTGGTGTGTTACGTATCTGGAATTATCACTGGCGCCTTCCTCACTGCATTGATTTGTAGCCAACGGCTGCGGCATCTTCTTGCTGTGTTGCTCCTTGAAGGCTCCAGATCCACTGAGTGGCCAGTGCGTGAGGACCGACTTGCAGGATATCGCCGCCAGGCATAGCAATTTTTCCATTCACTTCACACCTGAGTTGAGAGCCAGAGCTAGAACCAGCATTCTCTCAGTTTTCGCTGCTCATGTTCAAGCCGCTAACTGCTAGGAAGGCCAACAACTTGCGACTTGCCACAGTTGAGTCAGAGTGGGAGTGGCTTCTGTTTCAGACGCCTGACAGACAGGCTGCGGCTGTTCCAGTTCTTAGAAGGACTGGTGGGCTTCTCCTATGCTTGCCAGATGGAGCAATCAGCGCCGAGGAGGAGGCCAACAACCAACTTGGAGATCTCATCGCAGAGTTGGGGCCTGTCAAACGGACCTATGTATGCTGCCAAGGTCATGGGGGAGAGCCGACACTAGCTGTTGTCTTCATCGACGTGCAAGAATCCAACTATGGTGTCTTGCACTATGCTACCCGGAAACGTGTGGCATGGGAGGAAGGAACGATCCAATTCGTCGAGGGCGAAGAAGTTGCCAGGCCAGATGGCCCACAGATCATCGCTGCTGCTCAAGCTTGGGTAGAAGGCGAAGATGGACCCACGCCAGAAGAGTACCTCTCTGCCGTCGAGGGGGCGCCTCCTTCCGTACCAATGCAAATGCCACCTGGCATGGACATGGTGCTGGCTCAGCTTTCTTCCTTGGCAGATGCAGTCAGCGCTCTGCAATCCAATGTCAAAGGTTTGCAAGAGGAACGCCATTCATCACCTCTGGCAGTTGGGGCTCGTGCAAAAGCAGCTTCAAGTGTCAAACCCCATGCAGACCCCTTGCAGCAACTAGCGCAATTGGCGGGCCCACCGCCCCGCACCAGAAGTGTGGCGGTCACGGCCGCCAAAGACGTTGCAGACTTAGATGGGGAGGAGCTGACCGAAGAGGAAGTAGCCCTGCTGGAAGAGGGTCAGTCAGCCCTGAGCACGGACCAGATGCTGCGCCTCGCCTTGGTGAAGGCCTTGGGAAAAGGGAGCAAGTCCCGCAAAAAAGTAGGCTTGGCTTTGGGAGACAGCTCAGACGAGGAGGAGGACGATCCGCTCAGGAAGTTGAGCGGAGCCCGCGGCACCCTTTTGCAAGAGAAGTTGAGACAAGGGATGGATGCAACACCAATGGCGTACGTGAAATCCATCGAAAGCATGGCTGCTGCTTGCCTGGGGCAGACTCAACCCACGCAAGACACAATGGAGAGGTTTGTGCGGGAAGAGATGCCAATTGGATCCAGCCGGGATTTGGGCTATATGGTTTGGGCTATTGTCAAGGCTTTGAATCTGATGCGGAGCAAGAGCTACGACAAAGCCCAGCTCGTTCTCATGCTGACCTTGGCAGCGGTGGAGCAGTACAGGCTGGACCAAAATTGGCAGTCAGCATGGAGGTTAACGCACCTGGGCCTGCCACCCTTTCAGGAATGGAAGGTTCGAGAGCAATCGGTGCAGCAGCTTCGCCTGGATCATGCCCACAGTCGCTTGATTCATGCAACATGGGCGGCAGCAATCACTGCACGTCTCAAGGACGAGGAGGTGCTGATGAAAAGGCGAGGAGCTCCAAAAGCGGTTCCCCGAGCCGACAAAGGCGGCGACAAAGGCAAAGGCCGTGGTCGCAAGGCGGAACAGGAGGAGCAGCAGCAGATGTGAACATGAGGCCCCGAACTTTGGAAGATTGGCCAATATTTTTGCTTAATTCATTACTCAAATCTAGGACAGATTTTGCGAAGTTTGTACATGCTGGTCGACGCTGCAGTGGGCCTTCAGACGCACGGTCCGCAGAGCTTTTTCCAATCCCAGTGCCATTTCCATGGACTCCTTCCAATGCCATTCATGGCGCGTCCAGACGTAAGCGCCAGCGGTGGCGGCGTAGAAGGGCAAAGGAGATTTTGATCAACTTGCAAATTGCGGGGTTGAATTTTGTGTTTGGCAAATCTGGGCCTTGGCATTTTGGGATCCCCTTAACCTCTTCTCAACTCACTGTCGTAGACAATCTTTTGTTGAGGGCTCGCTCTCTAAGCCGCCTTGGTGGACACGTCTTCTCAGGGTGCGGCTCCAAGGTTGAAGACACAGCCTCTGAATTAGAACGTTTGCATGCGTTGTTTTTTGATCAGGATATCCCCTATGGCTCCAATCAGGGTCATGAGAATCAGAGATCTAGGTCAACTCCTGCGGTTGTTGTCCCCACGGTGGCATCTTCCGTGGCTTTCCCGGAAGAGTTGCAAGGTTTTAACCCCTTACCCTTTCTGGATGAGGAATTCTCCCGGGCATACCACGACCCTAGCTGTTTATTGCATGGTCAGTACAGGGAGCAGCCGCGGATGATGCCACCTGATGCTGTGTCGGCCGCGACCCGGAGTGAATTGCTCCATTTGGGATGGCGCTGGGATCAAGTAGATCGGCTTGCCTTAGCTCTTCCGAGCGAAATAGAAAACCAAGACAGATCGGGTTTGTTTTGTATTTCAAAGCCTGATGGAGAGCTTAGGCAAATAATAGACCGACGACCCCGAAATAGCCGGGAACTTCCGCCCCCTCAACATGGACCAAAAATGGGACACCCTAGTTCTTTGTTGGGTATTGTCATTCCTCATGGTTTTGATTTGTTGGGTAGTGTTGATGACCTCAAGAATTTCTATCATGAATTCCAAGTATCCCACAAGCGTGGTCTTAGCACCCCTGTAGGTCCCTGGTGGTCCGTTTCGGAGTGGGAAGGTTCCAAAGCTTTAGCTGATTTGAAGTCCAGACATCCCCGGTTGCATTCGAAACCATCTGACACCATCTTCATGTGCTTTAAAGGTCTTAGTATGGGGGATCATTGGGCACCTGCCTTTGCCCAAATGGCTCACGAGAACTTCTTAGCGTCTCATGGGGCTTTGAAACCGGAGGAACATCTACGTTTTGGGGAAATCACCCCAAGGGCCCCGTTAGGTCACTTTTCGGGTGTATGCATTGATGACAAGCTTAACCTTCAGCTAACCCCTAAAAAGTTTTGGGATGTTCCGCTTCGGGATTCAGAGTCGTGTAATCAAGCGGACACAGCCTATGAGACCGCTGGCCTCACCCATCACCCTAAGAAGCGATTGCGCAGGGTTCCGGTCACTGTGGCTTGGGGCACCCAAGTCGAAGGCGTTTGCGGCCTAATCGGTGCAAAGCGAGAGTGTCTTTGCATGCTGTCTATGGCCACGATGTTTGCTGCGTCATCTTCTGCCCTCACTCGCACTTTAGTGGAAAAGATTTTGGGGTTTTGGACATTTTGTTTCCAATTCAGACGGTGTCTCTTTAGTTTGATCCATGTGCTCTATGGGATTGGGGCTTCTAATGGATCTGTAGACGCCCCCTTTCGACCCACTAGGGAGGCCAGAGGTGAGTTGCAGCTTTTAAGCATTTTGGGTCCCACGGCCTTAGCTCAGTTGCGACGTCAAGTCAGTGCAACAATTTACGCAACTGACGCAGCGCCTGGAGGGGCGGGGGCGGTTTCGTGTTATGTTGGCGACCGTGTGTCCCAGGAATTGTTTCGTAGGGCAGAATCCCGGGGTTTCCACACCAAACTTTTACCTCCTATCAGTGCTTTTTTTCAAGAGCAAGGGTTGCCAGTGTGCCCGACCGTGGCATCGCACGATTTTGAGTTCCAAGCGCCGCCCGCCTTGGAAGGCGACCTACTGCCACAGGAACCGCGTTTTGTGCAGTCTGCAGAGTGTGGGGTGGTTAAAATATCGGCACCTGGTGTGCAAGCATGGGCGCAGAAGTTTTGGGAGTTTTCGCCGCAGGCCCCACCTGATGATGGACTCATTCCAGCACCCCGCAAACAATTATCCTTCAGATTTGATTTCATTGAAATCTATTCTGGTTGTGCTCGTATGACAAAGGCATTTGCGGATAGGGGTTTAGTAGTGGGACCCCCGATTGAATTGAAAGAGGGGTGGGACCTGTTCGACAAAGATTTGAGTCGACTCCTTCTTTTTCTGTGTATGGCAGGTAGGGTTGCGATCCTTTGGTTGGGGCCCCCTAGTACAACCTTTTCATTGGCTCGGTGCCCCAAACTTAGGAGTCGCGCGCAGCCCCTGGGTTTTGATTTGTTTAATTTGGATGTTCTGGCTGGAAATTATCACATGCACCTTTCCATCTGTTTGTGGGTCGCCCAGAAGTGCGCCGGGCGGATTGCCCTTCTAGAGACCCCCTGGTTCGCTTTTACTAGATTCCTTTCAGCATGGTTGTGGTGCCGGCATTTAGGTGGTGTAGACATTCGGTTGGACCTATGTAGATTTGGAACCCCCTATTTGAAAGGTACTTGAATATTGGGATCCCATACATGGTTAAGGGCCATGGGGCGTCTTTGCACTGGCGACCATACTCATGTTAAACTGGAGGGTTTTCAAGCCGCGTGTTCAGCTGCATATCCGTTTCCCATGTGTGAACATGTTGCAGACATAGTCATTGAAGGGTGTGATGCTTTACAGGGGCATAAGAAATCCCCAGCTCATGACGCTTCACATGTTGATGTGCAGACTGGAATTTCTCCACCTTTGCGGGATTGTAGGAGCTCTCGTAAGTTTGTAAGTCACCTATGGGCCACCCAGCTTTCTGAAACTCTCCCGTGGAAGGTGTGCAAAAAATATAAATTTCGAAAAGAAGGGCACATCAATGTGTTGGAGTGTCACGCGCGTCGATCTCTCCTGCTCAACATTCCAGCCCAGCAGAGGGTAGTAGTCATGCAAGATTCCATGGTCACACTTGGTGCTAGTGCAAAGGGTCGGAGTAGCAGCCCTTCACTGAACAAGGTTTTAAGACAGGAATGTGCAATTTGTGTTGCCAAAGATCTTTATGTTGGTGGCATCCATTCCCCCACATGGGCGTTGCGGGCTGACGACCCATCCAGAGGACGCTCCGTGCGTCTGCCTCGGGCCCCTCTGCCCGGCTGGTTCTTAGACTTGCGAGCAGGGCGCCTGGCACAAGCTCAGGACACTTTAGATGATCTCTCCCAGACTCCGCGGTCTGCCGGCCGGTGGTTTCTGTTTGCGGCAGCAGCTTGTTTGGCTGGTGTTGGCGGTTTCAATACAATCCGTGATTGGGCCTCGTCCATCCGCTGCGCCTCGCAACAGAGACGATTTGGAACAAGGGAGGGTTCTTCAGACCACCGCTGCCCTCAGAAGACAGCTTCTGGACGCTTTTGTGGACTGGATACAGAATCAGGAAGCCAGTGCGACCGGAGCTCGTCCTTTCGCAAGTTTGGCCAGGGAGACCCCCATAGTTGTGACGGAGTTGCTGGAAGAATACGGCCGAGTTCTCTACGAGACTGGGGCAAGCCGACGAACATTTAAGGACTTTTGGCTTCCAGTAGGTGTTAACTTTTTTGAGGTAGGTGTTTGTTTTGTGCAAAGCACTGGCACCTCAGATTCTTGGTTTGTAAATTTAGAGTGTTGCGATGCCAAAGGAAAAGCAAGCACCACGTCAGAATATTTCACACTGAGGAGATTGGGTTAAATGTCAGAAGGAGATGCCAAAGCCAATGTCACATGATATGTCAGAAAATGGCTGTCAATATGAGGAGAGGGTGGGGCTCACTGGAAGTGACATTTTTTTGTGAGAACGAAAGGAATGTTGATCTTTCAGAATCTTCCGTTGAGAAATTGATCATTGTTCACAGTTATGTTGCCTCTTGTGCGTGGAAGTGTCAGCATCACTATTTGCATGATTTGCATTGGTTTGCAGCCGCCTGTTCTTCGCTATATAATAATAATAGGTAGCAGCATCTTGCGCTATATATAATTAATAGTAGCAGCTTCTTGAGCGCTATATTATAATTAATTAATAGTAGCGCTTGAAGCGCTTTTAAACATTCTGTGTTCTCGCGCAGCTAATTTTCCAGAGACCTCGAAACCGCGTTTTTCATATCATAGCGATCTTGCTGCTATCAATTCAATGGCTTACCATCAAGTGTGGCTGCATGCAGAGCAGTGGAACCTGTTGCCTCTGTTCCTCCAGACCATTTCTATGTTGTCAGAGGAGGAAAAAAATTTCATGGCAGATTTTGGCATGGCACTGTTGAAAGAATGCTGCATTGCTGCGCGCAAGTTGACTGACAACTTCCAAGAGACGCTGGACCTGATGCGTGCCGAAGTTTTTGTGGCGACATTTCGTGGCGTCATCGTCCGTGGAAATTCGACTCACATTCCAGTGGCCGTGCTCAGGGAGACTGAAGGTGACAAGAGACGCTTCCGAGATTTGATTGCAGCTCAATCGTATACGGTGCCTCGCTTGCAGCATTTGGCCAGCGATTTGAGACTGGCGTTACACTACATTGATGAGTGGGAGACAAACTGGCGTTGTTCCGAAGCTTTGGCTTCAGTCATGGAGCACGTCGAGGCCATACTGGACAACTTGCGGCTGAAGATCTTGGGATTGCTTCATGAACCGGAAGGAGAATATAACCCTGAGTTTGACTTTGACTTCAAATAAGGATGGAAAAAAATTAGGGGCATGCCGCTTTAGTGCCACCACGTTGCATGCAGAGGTCATTTTCTGAGACGGATCATTTCATTTTGGTTTGTTTCGAGTGCAAACGTTTTTCCATTCGGTGCAATCTGCAGCCGTTTTCAAAAAATGACGTTTGACAGCTCAACACGAGTCAGCGGACAAAAAAAAGCATGACGTAACTTAACATGATGTAGCAGATAATTAAATTCATGTGTGAGTGTTTTTGCGATAGTTTTTATAGGCTGACCATGATCATGATGGTGAGAATGCCGCTACCTTAGGCACTTTCCACTGAACTCTCTGCTGCAATGTCAGATACGCTGTCTGATGCACCAAGCTTGCCTCCTGATGTTGAATCTGAAGATGATAACAAAGACGCATCTGAAGCAAGATCCGTAAGTCTTCCCTCTGACGTTCAATCTGATGCTGAGCCTGGAAATCTTCAAAAGCATTGCAGCTGCCGATTGCAATGTTACCTGAAGTTTGATGAAGCAGAAATCGAACATCGACGTGCTGAAAATTTGAAGGATCAGCAGGTTCGACTCCAGAATTTATTTGGAAAGGTGAAATCTTTCGTGGATGCTTTATCTGTAAAGACTGCTCGCATAGATTGGCAAATGGGTGGCCAAAAAGTGTGCAGGCCCTTTTGGGAGTATTGCCACTCAGTAGGCCACAAACAAGTGGACGACATGGTGAAATTGGCTAAGCTTGGACATGCTGCTCTCCCTGAAAAAGGCGCCCGGATGCCCAAGGAGAAGCCTCGCATGGATGAGGCTGATGTTTGGTTCCTTAACTTATATACAGGTCTTGCAGAGCCGACACCAGTGGAAGATGGTGGCCATCGCCATGTGGAAGAACTTCCTGATGCAGATCAAGTGCATGAAGTTGTCCACGATGTTAGCCATCCACTATATTCAATGTCTGTTGGTGTTGGCAACCAGGGGGCATTGGTCCCGAAGCGTTTCCTCAATCAGGAGAATTTGGCTTCTTTGTGGCATGTCTACGAGCTGAACAAGTCGGATAAGCCACGTGTGTCCCGGGATACCTTCACCAAAGCTTTCAATCGACACTGGAAAAGGATTTTATGCTTCAAGGGTTATGGTCAAGGAGTACGATGTCAAGTTTGTGCTGATTTTGATGAGAAGCGTTCGCAGCTGACTTCAAAGAAGGAGCGCCAGGAGATTGACGAGTTGAAGCAGCAGCACCTCAACAGATGTGACATGGACCGATCTGTCAATGTCAGGGGCAACCGATTGTCAAAGCAGGATTCAAATTTTAAGATGGAGAACTCCTCGACTAGCTTCCTCAAGGTGTTGGTGGACGGGATGGACCAGGCAAAATTTCGATGTTCCAGAAACTTAAAAGCCAATGCAGCCTTCGCCAATGTCCAAAGGCCGGCCTTGCATCTCACTGGAGCTGTGGCAATTGGCCTCTGCGAGGTTTATTATATTCTTGCGCCTGACACCAAGAAGGACAGCAACATGGTTGCAACTTGCTTGGCCCACCTTTTGGACAGATGCCAACTTGTTGTCGAAAATAGAGGACCAGATTATTGCTTGCCAAGACATCTCATCATTGGAGCGGACAATTGCACCAGGGAGACGAAGAATGCCTATTTGGCCCAATTCGGTGCCTTCCTTGTGGGAAGGGGTTTATTTGATTCAGTGGAGTTTCAGTTTATGGTCACTGGCCACACAAAGAATGAGCTGGATCAGCGCTTTTCAAGCGTTGCGACGATTTTGAACAAGGCTGGCACCCTGGAAACGCCATTGCAATTTGCCAACTACATGACGCACCATGTTAAGCCAGCAATGGCAACCGAGATGCAGGTGGAGGTCTTGGATGCTACTAGGGATTGGCAAACTTTCTTTGAACATTTGAGCATGCACGTGCACGTGCAAGGGCTCACAGCGACCCACCTTCAGCCTGATTCAAACCATGTTTGGCGCTTTGTCTTCCGACAGCAAATTGACCGTGCCCAAATGGTGGAGAACCACAACCCAAACTGGAAGGATTTTCCTGAAGACCCCAGGGATGTTGTGCTGATTCTCAAGCAGTGCCTTGGTTTTTTCCTGTTCTTCAAAGTCGTTTCAGTATATCAATGTTGTACCTTTTAGTTCTTGGACCGTCCCATGGTTGAATTACCAGGTTCTCACCGCTGCTGCAATGAAATGTATTTTTTTTCAGACTGCCAGGTTCATGTCCTCGGCCGAAGCGTCGCAACCACCTCAGCTGATGCTTCCAGCTCAGCTTCTTGGCAGTTTCAAGCGGGACCTCTTGACGATTGCCGACAGAAGGCAGTGGTCTGAAGATCAGTTGGAGCAGTACCTGAAGACTGCTCAAGCCGTGTCGTCGGATCCATGGAGACTCTTTGAGGCGCAGGCATGGCTGGAAGGCTTGTGCCATGCTAACAAGCATCGGCTGTCCAAGGAGCCTCCAGTCTTTTCTTTGGTTTTGCAGGAGCATGAAATGCCTGAGATCGTCACAGATTTGCCAGATGAAGCCCTGTTTCAGCCGGATCCGGCACCTCGTCGTGTCAGAGTGTTGCTGAAGCGACCTGCTGCTGCAGCCAAGTCATGTCGACAGCCGAAGATGAGAAGACCTGCAGCAGCTCTGCCAGGTGCTGCAGTTGCAGCACCAGCAGACGCTGCAGTAGCCGCGGCGGCCAAGCCTGCTGCAGCACCTTCTGGATCGCGACCGCCCATGCGCAGACCCGCGGCTGCAGAACCCTCAGACCGTGCCAATGCTCCTCCGGAGTCACATGTGGTTGAGGCTTCTTTAGGGAATTACACATGTCAATGTTCGGAGACTCTGATATGATGTCTATGACAATATTATTGGACTTCTGTTTCAGCTAGGGGCGAGACTTCAAACTTTTCAATGTCAAGGTATACCACTATCTTGAAGATGTAAAGGGAAAGAAACAGTCGGTGATCAGAAATTCAGACAATGTTGCTGCAGTTGCATCAGAGCTGGCGATCCATTGATATATTATAATATGTATTATGATTTTTGGCATCGTAGGTAGCGCAGAGCGCTCTATAATGGGTCCCCTATTAAGTAGGTAGCGCAGGACGCTTTATAATTATATCATATAATAATATCCCTAACACATTTATGACCACGTAAAGTCACCAATTTGGCTTGGCCCGCTAGGCAGATTCAGAGAAGATCGAGCGCTATGGATGCTCCAGGTGCAGAAGCGCCAGGATTGGGTGCCTTCAATGTCGAGCCTGGGTGGAACAGAAGAGGCGTCGTTACGTTTTGGATTCAGCTGGCCACATTTGTCAGCTTAAAGCTGACGCTGAGGATGTTGATTGAATATCCCCAGCCAATCTTCAAGATTTTGCATTTGGATTGAAAAGAGAAAATGAGATGCCTTGCTGCAGATTGCTTTTGGCCTCTGTGCGAAGGAAATGACATTGGAGCTTAAGAACCATGATTAGACTAAAGCCAAATCATGTTTGCGATGTTGATTTGTGATTGAATCCTGAAGTGCTTTGGCAAAGAAAGTGTCTTAGACATAAAAAAAACATGTTTGAGATGTCGCTTTGTGATTGAAGCGCTACTGGCCAAGAAACAGTCCTGCCCGAGGAAAACACAATTTCCTTTGAAAGGGGTCCTCGGAGTGAAAGGGGTCCTGGGTCCGCGTCAAGGGCTCCAAATTGAAGCTAGCATGCGCGCGCGCGCGGACCCAGGACCCCATTCACCCCGAGGACCTCTTTCAAGGGAAATTTTGTTGGAAACTCGATTGTTTGTGAGTTTTTTTTGGATCAAAGAAACAGTCCTGCCTCGCACCATGAAAAGACCAGCCTCCCTGATGGCAGCACCTGCTCCTATGTGC